CGCTTGACCCCCCGGTGGATGTCTTTGTGCACCAGAGCAAGCTGCACATGGAGGGCTTCCGGAGCCTGAAGGAGGGCGAGGCAGTGGAGTTCACCTTTAAGAAGTCAGCTAAGGGCCTGGAATCTATCCGGGTCACTGGCCCTGGTGGGGTGTTCTGTATCGGGAGCGAGAGGCGGCCCAAAGGGAAGAACATGCAGAAGCGCAGATCAAAGGGAGACAGGTGCTATAACTGTGGAGGTCTAGACCACCATGCCAAGGAATGCAAGCTGCCACCCCAGCCTAAGAAGTGCCACTTCTGTCAGAGCATCAGCCATATGGTGGCCTCGTGTCCACTGAAAGCCCAGCAGGCCCCCAGCTCCCAGGGAAAGCCAGCCTACTTTCGGGAGGAGGAGGAAGAAGAGATCCACAGCCCTGCCCTGCTCCCAGAGGCCCAGAATTGAGCTACAGTGGGTTGGGGCTATGCTTTTGTGATCAGGAAGTTTTGAGGAGCAGGCATCAATCGGCAGAGTGGAGAAAGTGGGGACAGGGTGGGTAGGGGACAGCTGGCCCTGCCATGTTTCTCAGGCCGGGGTCCACAGCATCACCCCCTCTTCCTTCTTGGCAGGGTAGGGGGGAAGGGGTGAGGCCAATGAACTCCAACCATGCGCTATCCAAATGCTTGTGAGGGTTCTGGGGAAGATTCCTCCCCTTGTGCTTTATCTGAGGCCCCCCCCCCCAACCAGATCTCCAGCTTTTGAAAGTGGCCTGGATAGGGAAGTTGTTTTCCTTTCAAAGAAGGATATGTAATAATGCTTTTTCCCATGCCAGAATGTAAAGATCAAGCATGAGACCAAATTGACGGGCCCAACCCATGAAGCACGACTTTCCCTGGGAGGGACTCCCTCAGGGGTGATGCAGGGATTTTTCCAAATCTCGTCTCCTACCTGACTCTTGGGATAGGGTGTCGAGAACCCTCCCCCGCAAAGGGATTGTCGGGGGAACAGCTGAAGAGCTGCTGTTCCTAAGCTGACTCACACTCCATTCTGGGCCGATAGAATTTTATTTATTTTCTCCCTCGGATGACCGCACCTTGGGCCCCACTTTCTCCAGGATGCCAACTGCACTAGCTGTGTGCGAATGACGTATCTTGTGCATTTTAACTTTTTTTTTTTCGTAATATAAATGTTCTGGTTTTGTACTTTTGTGTATTTTAATCTTAAGGCCCTCCTTCCTGCACTGTGTTCTCAGGTACACAAGCAATCTCAGGGATAAGTCGGCAGCAGCTCCAGGTCTGTACGGCAGGAATACTGTTTATCACCAGGGAGAACAACTATTTGGAGTGCATAGCCTATTTAACTACCTCATTTTTGCCAATTAGAACTGGCTTCTCTGCTGTAGTGTCCTCTTAAAACCCTTCCTTCCACCTTCAGTGTTCCATGGGAGATGAGGTTTTAACTTGGTTCTCCCATGCCTTGATCTCTTTCTACTGGAAGGTTGGAAATTGGTCCGAACAGGAAAAGGTGGTACAGGAAGGTTATAAGAGGCTGCACTGAGCCGAAAGGTGCAGAGTGAAAGCCAAGGTTAGGAGAGGGCTGTCTGTAAGTATAATAAAGGATTTCTGTTCCAGACTTCTAATCCCAGGGCACGGGACTCACTTTACATACCAGATCCTTCCTTCACTGGATTGGGCTAGGCCTACCATGCACAACAGGGTGTGTGTGAGTGTGAGTGTGTGTGTTTAAAAAAATGAGTTGGTAAGGATAGCTTTAAGAACAATACCTCTGTACCCATCTTGAGCCGCCCAGGGATGGGTGTATGAAGCAAAGGCTAAATTTCTTAACTTTTATAAATTCTGGGCTTTTCTTGTTGGCTTCCAGAGAGACCATATGCCACGGCTTTGTGGTGCCCAGAGCCAGTGTCCTGCCCTGCTGTAGCAGTGATTAGTGTCATGATAGTTAAAGGAGAAAAGAAGGTTTCGTTTACATGCTGTGAGATCACCACAAACCTACCTCACTGTGTTGAAACGGGGCAAATGCAATAGAACTCATTGGGTGATGTGTGTCTGATCCTGGGTTCTTGTCTCCTCCAATCGCTGCTCCCCCCCCCCCACTAATTATATCATATTTGTCTGGGTTTTGTAGGACGTCACGAATAGCTGATTGGGTGATTGCTAGGTGGCCTGGTTTGTGTAAATATAATGTGTTGGTCTTCTCCATGTTCTTTTGGGGTTTTATTGTTTACAAACTTCTTTTTGTATTGAGAAAAATAGCCAAAGCATCTTTGACAAAAGGTTCTGCACCAGGAGGAGAATCTGGAAGATAGCTTGGTGACCCCTCTTAGAGTATGGCGGTCTTGAACCATCCTTTCTTTTGTGTTTCCTTCCCCTCTTTCCTATTTTGGGCCAGATCTTCTATCCTAGAAATTTGACTCCTACCCTATCCCCTCTTTTATCCTCCCCCTCTTAAAAAAAAGTCCCCCACCACCTCCATACACCTTTTAATCCTGAAAAAGCTATAAACCCTCCATCCCTTGTTCCTAATATCCTGTGTCAAGACCATTCCTTGATGTGATTCATACCAATACACTTGTATTTGGATGGATCAACCCTACTTTAATCTCTAAGGGTAGAGAGAAGCAGAAGCAAGGAGGGGGGCCTTCCATGTAGAAATAGGGTCTGGAGACCAAGGAAGCGAAGATGAATGTATAATCCAAGTCACTCAGGAACTTTTATGCAGGTGCAAGAAGCTTATGTCAAAGTGGCCACAAGATTGTTTAATAGGAGATGAACGAATGTAACTCCATGTTTACTGCTAGAAACCAAAGCTTTGTGTGAAATCTTGAATTTATGGGGGTGGGATGGGGTAGGAAAGCTTGTACCTATCTGTTCTTTCCCTGATCCCTTCTCCTCCTTTCTGAACTGCAGGAGACTGAGCCCCCTTGGGCTTTAGTGACTCCAATCTCTGGGGGGTGTTTACGTGGTTGATTTTGCTGTGCCGGGTACTTCCTTTCCCACTTGCTGTTTTGTAACACACATGCTGACCCTTTTCCCTTCTCTTTTTACCCTGGGAAAATCCAATGAATAAATAAAACGTTATTGGTACTGAAAAAAAAAAAAAAAAGGAAGGAAGGAAAGGCAGCCATATCCATCCACTTGATAAAGCCTGAGGATACTGAGGAGAAAGGCTTAGGACTATAACTTGAAAGATAACACAGCAAAGGAGATATTATTTTGTCAACCATGCCACATTGAGGGAAAAGGCTTCAAGTACACCTGCATAATCATATGAAAACCTGGATCTAGACAACAACCATTCTGCCCATTAAACCAACCCCCAAGACATACACAGTTACACACAAACATTCACATACTCACACATACAATTTCTAAATGATAATGACTTCTAATATAGATACAAAAAGAGGACCTACATTTAATTAAAAGTATAGTTAGAAGAGTTGTCATAAAATATACACTTTGAAATACACATTATATTTTATGCCAACATTTTACTCAAGAGATTATCTTAGTTTTGAAATGTGTTGTTACTTTTATATCTTCTGTGATCTAAATCTGGCACTGTCATGAGTCACACTAGAGGAAAAAAATATTAAAAATATAATTGTTATAGTTAACTCCAGACTTGTAATGAAAATGTTAGCAAAACATTTATACTGTAATACTTACATTGTGAAACAACTCTTAAAACCTCCCAAATATCAAAGATCTTTCATGCATAAATGCACTTGTCTATGCAGTGTCTCGGCACATGCTTTAGGTTTACATAAAAATAGTTTTCAATCATTAAGTGACCTAACAATGTTGAAGTTATGAAATATGGTCATGAAAGCAGCAAATACCTGAGGTACTCACAGCTGTGGAGTAGGGATTATGAGCTCCAGTATTTTCAGCCCAGCAGCCACATCCATAAAGAGCAGCCTGAGAAAAAAGAAAAGAGATAATGTATTTCAGAAATATTGTATGTAATTACTAGCTTTCAACAGAAGAGAAAATCATACCCATGTAATAAAGCCTGGTTTAATAATGATGTATATCAAATGGGAAATAATGCCAGAGACTGTGTAAGACCTACCCAAACAATGATTCTAACACTATCTAAACCATATTTTCAACTACTGTATTAATCTAAAATTTTTCAAAAAACAGCAAAAGAAAGTTTCTGAAACTCTCATCAGCAGTAGTTTTGTTCCTTCCTTGAAAAACCTTTCCCCTACTGCAGTTTGTCAACTAGTTTCTCTTCTGGACCCTTGAACTCACCCCTGTGATTGCCTTATAACAGTGGGTCTCAAAGTAGGTGTGTGCCAAATCGCTTGAGAAGCTTGGTGATAAGAACCATGGTTCCCAGGTAGTATGATTCAGTGGTCTGGGGGTTGGCCAATGAATTGACGTTATTAATCAGGGCCCTGGGGGGGGGGGGGGAGCATGCCTCCCTTAAAGTTGCACAATAGGAACTGCAAACAGTTATTACCAAAGAGCCTAGGATATGCTCACCACTGTGCTAGATTCTGCCAGATATAAAGAAAGGAGGCATAAAGGTCAATTCAAGCTAATCACTTTATGAGGTGGTAGAGCAGATTTATATGGCTGAAACCATCCATAACACAAATTACTATGGTTTCATAAAAGAATATGACAATTATTCCTATTTCGTTTTTAATAACGCCACCCTGAATGGCTGGATTCACCTCTTTAATATCCATAATGACACCTCTGCCTTTGGGAGGGGAATCAAAACTGATAACTTTTCCAGTCCTTAGTTATCAGTAGAATTAGAAAAGCCTTTGGACAGCTATCACAGAGAAATACAAGGAAGAATACTCAAGAATGTTCACCACCACAAGTTTGGTAAGAATAGCAAACTGAAGGCACAGATGTCCATCAGCAAAGAAATGGCTAACTGTTGGCACAGCAATATGTGGAATTCATTGCAGAGGTTCAAATTAAAGAACTAAAATTTTTAAGAAGATTTTTAGGAACTAATATAGAAAGATCCCCAAACATATTGTTGGGGGAGGTGGCAGGAGAAGGAGAGGAAGATAGCGACAAGCTACAATACGTTGAGTATTCAATATCACTTATCACTGATGGGGAAAAAAGATATTCCCATAAAATAGAAAAAAGTAACTGCTATTTTCTAGGAGCCCACTTGTAAGGACTGCGGGAAGAAGCTAAGACTGGGAATGGTGACCAGACAGACTTTAGCTTTCTATAATATTTTATCTTTTTTTATAAGGACTTCAGAAAAATCCATTTGCTTCAATATTCTTCCCAGAGCAGGAATTTCCATGAAATATCCCAGGCACTTCTGATACCAAGAGCCTCGATGCCTCATCCGTGAACATATTCCCCCTTTTAGACACTCCCTTTGGTGAAATGTTCCTCCTTAGATTGGCTTTAAGGAATACCTGCTTTATCATAACTTCCACCCACTTATCCTGGTTC